TAGTTTTTATCAGGATGTTTTCAATTTAGTCACTTTCTGTTCCCTTTTGTCTTATCCCATCGTCATTATATGTTATTGTTTTTCGATTGTAATATCGCTAATGTCGCCTGTGAAGCTTTTTATCTTATATGGGCATTCACATGGAAGCATTTTGTATTTTTTTCTCCAAATTTTTGCCATTTTCTTGTTATGAATTTTTTTTGTATGCTCCTGTGCGAATAAAGATAAGAATCATGGCATACAACAATAATCATGGCATATAACAATAATCATGGCATACAACAATAATCATGGCATACAACAATAATCATGGCATACAACAATAATCATGGCATACAACAATAATCATGGCCTACAACAATTATCATGACATACAACAATTATCATGACATACTACAAAAATAATGACTTACAACAATAATCATGGCATACTACAATAATCACGGCATACAACGATAATCATGGCATACAACAATTATAATGACATACAACATAAATAATTACTTACAACAATAATCATGGCATACTGCAATAATCATGGCATACAACAATAATCATGGCATACTGCAATAATCATGGCATACTACAATAATCAAGGCATACTACAATAATCATGGCATACTACAAAAATAATGACTTACAACAATAATCATGGCATACTACAATAATCACGGCATACAACAATAATCATGGCATACAACAATAATCATGGCATACTGCAATAATCATGGCATACTACAATAATCATGGCATACAACAATAATCATGACATACAACAATAATCATGGCATAGAACAATAATCATGGCATACTGCAATAATCATGGCATACTACAATAATCAAGGCATACTACAATAATCATGGCCTGAAACAATAATCACGGCATACAACGATAATCATGGCATATAACAATAATCATGGCATACAACAATAATCATGGCCTACAACAATATTGAAGACATAACAAGAATATTAACATACAAGAATAATCATGCATGAAATTCCACAGCACTTACATGATCTCTGTATCGGGGTTTCCTCTGGAAGCGCAGCTCTTAAAGCGATTCAGCACAATTCTCAACCTCCTAGCATGCTGAGCTCTAAGTGGACGAAGATGTTCAATAATTTAATACTGGGTTCGCTTCATCAGATTTAAAAGTGAATGAACAACATAATGCAATCAGTGAGAAAATCTGCATAATTAACACAAACAAGAAGCACTGGCATGGTTGCATCAAATAGATATCGGATAATCATCTGGTAATAATTAAACACCAGTATCAGATCAATCACCAACATCAGATCAATCACCAACATCAGATTAATCACCAACATCAGATTAATCACCAACATAAATCACCAGTTAAGACCACAGGAACGTACAGGCTAGTAAAAATTAACTATGCACTGAACAGGTAATGCTAACATGTAACTCCGACAGTTAAAGCGACTGGACCTCCGACACTGGCCACAGACACATGAATAATGGCCGGCAAAGAGATCCAGAGTATGCGTACGCCATCAGCTGTTCTGTCGGTTGCTGCCAAAAAATGAAATCTTGAATTATATATTTTATCTTAAAAGTTAATGAAATGCGGCTTCAATATTTCAACAATATCCAACAATATCTTAAAACCCGTGAATTGGTCAATGCTGCCGCCTGCCGGTGAGAAATTCATCCCGACTCGTGCCAGTGTAAGCACCTGCGACAGCGGATAATAAGCTTCCAGCCGTGACGCTGGAGTGTCATTTGGGTGTTGAAGCTCTTAGAGAGGCAACCTTTGCAGGTTAGCTTAGCAAGATGAATTATTGAAATTCAATTATATTATACAAAAGATAATCTTGCGCAACGTTGCTAGCTGCTGCTATGCTTGACGACATGACCTAGATGGTCAGGGAATCTTCCAAGCATGTTCTAATGAAGTGCGCATGTTATAAATCAGTCAAGAGATTTTTCAAAAACTTTTTTATGAACATCTTCCCTTTAACGATGCTTACTATGGGCATGTATTATAATGTGCAATTACTGTGATTGTGTATGTAATAAAGACATATCGCAAAGTGCGGCGAAGACGCTGCACGACCACGATAACAAAAACTTACATTAGTAGAAATACAAATATGATACTGTCTATTCTGAATGGGAATTTGCATCAAGAAATGTTTGTTAGCCGTTTACATGAGACTTCATGTACTGCACTGTTAAAAAGGATTCTTTATTTATAGAATGTTCGGGGAATGTTAGAGAATAATCGAAAATTCAAGTATTGCCAAACCCAAACAGAATACATCTCACATTTTCATCTTTGCAAAGATTTCGGTATCAAGAAGAATCACAGCCAGGCGAGCATCGTAGTCGTCGTCATGAAGTCCATTATATTTGGTCTTTTGATCAGCCTCGTCGCCGCGCGAGTGCCGATGAATCAACGCTACGCAAATCAGGTAAAGTTATTCTAGGATTTGAATAAAAATACGATATTGTATTAGCTGTAAATCTAAAATTTTAATGCTGAATAAATTTTTTTTTTAGTGTATACTGATTAGAATTTTGAAATAAAATTCTTCAAATTACGTAACATATTCTTCAGATTAGACAGATACTCTAACGTTTTAAAATATTGCGTAAATATTTTAGAAACATAAGCGTTACTCGAAAATAGAGTTACTAATAATGAAAGTGATTACTAATTTTACTCGACAATTCTTTTCATGGGGGAATTGTCACTTAAAAATATAGGTTCATAATAAAATAAATGAAAATTGAATTTTTTTGACAAATTCAAGCGGAAAAAGGAAAAACTTGGACTATTGCGGACAACATTTCGGAACACGCAAAAAATGTTCAAATTCCACAATGGTAAGTAAAATCAGATTGAAAATGTAATTTAAGGAAACAAATTTTAAATTCTTAGTTCGCTATCGTTTTCGCTAATCCACAGAAGCCGTCTTTAAATTGACATTCTATAGACTTTCGTGCATGGCAAGCCAGAACTATGTGCATGACTCCCAGGCTTACGTGCATGCATTCCAAATTTATGCGCATAACATGCCAAAATTACGTGCACGACGTGTTACATTTAAGTGCATGATGTGCCAGAATTATATGCATGGCATGCCATATTTAGATGACTGACATGACAGAATTACGCGCATGACTTTCCATAATTAAATGCACGACACCCCAGAATTACGTGTATGACAAACCAGAATTACATGAATGTCAATCCAGAAATACGAGCATATCAAGCCTGAATTACGAGCATGAGTCTTCATGTACTGCAACTACAATAATCTGGGCCATTCTACGTCAGGCTACTTTCCTGTAGGCTGATTGATCTAATTCAGTGGTTCCCAAAGTGGGCGATATCGCCCCTCTGTGGGCGGTGGAATGATCTGGAGGGGGGCGGTGAGGAAGATAGGGGCAGTAGGGGGGCGGCAGTCCGCGAAGTCGAAGTCAGAAGTTCGTACGTTTGTTTGACGATTTGTACACAACTGTCAACACATGCAGAACATGACTCCGACTCGAATAAATTTTCACGAGCTTTGGTTTGGTAGTTAGGAATTTAAATTCAAAATTTCGTTCGAATCTGTTCAGTAGTTTGGGAGAAATTCTTTGATCACGGCGAATTTCTGCCCGGACCGCCATATAACTCCCGAATGAAGGTGAAATTTAAAATTTTTCACGAGCTAAACATCACCGTTAGTTTCTAATGAATACGTGTTCTAATTTTTAATGAGCGGCGTTCATGAGTTCGGGAGATATTCCTTGGTCACTGAATTTTGCGGGTTGCCTGCCGAAGACCACCACTGCCCTGGATGTAATGGACCATCATGATTCCTGCCTTCCGGAACGTAGCCTTCAACACTTCAAGCCGTCCGTATCTAGGCCGTGCGTCGAACCAGCCCTCGGTCGAACGGCCACTTGTCGAAGGACGATAAATTTTGGAACAGAACTATGCTATCTGAAACCTAACCTCAGTTGCGGTGAACGTGAAATTACGTTATTTAACGATGCCCGGAAGTCATATTCGATCCGCGGCCTGGTGGTGCACGGCAGAGTCTATGCAAGGCCGGAGGAGGACAAAGTCGAGTGGTTCACGGCTGATTGGTGGATGTCCGGAGAGTTCCAAGGCGTTCGATTCAGGGCTTATTGGTGTAAAAAATTGGTGGTGCGCGGCTACGCTCCCTCCTCCGCCGCCCTCGCCCACAATCTCTCTAACCAAGCGGCTCTCCATCACCTAGTGGAGAAAATAAAATTTCTGATTTTCAATGGTCTCTTTTTCTGCAATGAAAGAATAACAACCAGTAAATATCGAGGCACCTAACGAAAACGCGAAGGGCCAAGAAAACATATAAGTCGAATAATCGAAAATACAAAAAATTTATCTAATACGGAACAAAAACTGGCACACAAATATTGAAAACTGGAGATAGATTATGGCCCCCGCTCGAATGAGGTCCGTGTCGCACCCGTGCAGTCCGACGATCGGGAAGCTTAGGGAATACGATAGAGGTTTCCCCTTTCGTTTCAATTATGGATTTAAAGTAATATATATAGTATTAGTTATATAGCTAACGCCATATAGTTATAGAATTTGGTATAGTATTGTTATTGTTACAGTAATATATTAATAGTTATATAGTGTCCGGTGATCTTCTATCACCCTCTAGGTTATCATACGTCACCCTCTTATAACATGTTCTGTACCCGCATGAGTCACACTCAGTGACGTCATCCCTGTTAAGGCCTATATATATCTCGATCTGTGCACAGATCGTCAGTCGTAGCGAAACTACCCAGCCGTCATCTTGCTAGCCGCTCCTCCAGCACGTACTTGTGCTGTGCCTGTCATTCCCGTTACAGCTGTGCTCACCGAGCCACTTTATTATTATAATAGATCTAGTGTTAACCTTTTCGTTTCACTTGTCCTGACTTAGTCATACTTGGAACTACAAGTATCCTGACTCTCAGTTACTAATCTATCAGGGGGTCGCAGAAATAGACCTCTGACAGTGGCGCCGCCGAACAGTGCATTGTTTCCAAGTGAAAGTGATTGTTTATCATATTCCATTTAACTTATGAGTGGCAGTGACACGGATCTTGGTGATAGTCGTGATAGTCTATATACTCGACTTAATCAACGGCCGGTTCGAGAACGTAAAGTGCCTGTGCGTTATCCTGACAGTGAAAGTGCAGTGATTAAATCTGAAAACATGGCGAGTAGTGCTCCAGCATCGGAAACTTCGCCCGTCCCTACATCTACCGCTGCAGCGTCTGCAACGATGTCATCGGAGACGGCAATTCCTCGAGCTTCAATTCAGTATGTTCCATCACCAGCAGAATTGCCCAATTTTAGGGGCAATGTTTTAGCAGGTGAGCCGCCATGTCAGCCAGGTACTGCAGAAGGAGACGTCCGACAATGGTTGGATATGTTGCAAATTCATTTTGCTGCAACGGGGTTGACAGATGATCTTGGGAAAATAATGCAGTTGGAATTGGAATTGGGGTGCGTGGTAACCTACGATCACGACCTTTAAATCGGCCATACACGCTGCCTAAAAACTTTTACTAGCATCAAAAAGAATTAAAAGTTCACACTCTTATGTTAACAAAAAGTTCAAATATACCATATTCACAGCTGTCCTAAGAAAAAATATAAAAATTTGACAATCCCAAAAAAGTAAAACAACGTGCTAAAAGAATTCGGCACGGTCATATATGTCTTCCCACCCTCCTCTCTCACAACCCTCCATTCCTCAAGACTCCACTCTCATCATCCTCCTCCTCTCCCTCATCCTCCACACGTTTTCCAAATATCTCTTCACACTCTCAAACATAGCCGCAGTTGCTCCCTCAGACAGACCCTTAATTATCGCCATCCACTCTTAACATAACATAAAACATAGTGATGTCGGCGCTGAAGTGTAGGCTGATGTGGCCTGTCGCCGAATCTTTTCCTTTTCGTGCCTTGTTCATAGATCTAAACTCGTGTCATTTGACCGGACCTTTTCATGACTGACGATAGTTTGAAGTAGCTACTAGACTTCCACCGGGTTCGATAAATTGGAAGTGTTGAGCTCTAAATGAAATTCGTTTCAAGCTTTCCATTATCAACTGCACTCTAAATTCTTGGATTGATAACCAAAATTATGGCGGAATACACGATAGTAATGTGAAATCAAATGACTTGCTCACGCCTCCTTGCACACCGATACCACAGCTACTGCATCGAGAACTTTGTTGTACCGCACTGGCCTAGTCTTCAGAGGCTCCCGGAAATTACGACGAAAGTTCTTATGCAATCTTCAATAATTAAGTTGTCGGCCGTAGGCATGCTTGGAAATTCCAACTTATAGCACACATATCTGCATGAGCTACTGTACTTCTGTAGCCGATATCTGAAAAATGTGTACTAAATCTTTTTTACTATAGTTATCGATAATTCGAATTTTTCCTCTGAGTTAATATACATTTTTTAAAACTCGTGCATACCCTATGCTATTTGTTTTAATTTAAATTGACCTCAACGATTGAGATTATATTGGTAAGAATAAGAATTATGTACTAAATAAGAATCAATATTAAAAAACCTAAATATTATTTGTTATCATGAAATCAAAAAATCGTTACAATATTTTGAACAAATAAATCGATCATCGCCACTGGGGCATCAGAATCAGTCAATGATGACAATAATGCAGGTAAGGATTCAATTCTCTAATTTTTGTGGCTTGCAGGAAGGGAAAACATGCGGCTTCATGAAGCAATGCATGAAGCTTCAAATTCAAGCATCGTTTTCGAATTCAATTAGCTTACATTATGCTAAGCTCATAATAAGCATAATCGCATTACTTCACACTTACATAATAATAAATGTATTTAAATGCCAATGGCAGGATTTGTCAGTAATAAAGCACATTGGACCTAACATTTGCGCAGTCTCGTTTTTACAACACTTCTCTTTAACTTCACTTCTTGTTGTTTGTTTCTTTGTTTGTTTGTCTGTCTGCTACAAATCTCATAATCAATATTTAACACAAAGGCAAACCTTTCCCATCGATCTGAAATTTTGCACACTTGCATAAAGTTGGAGACAATGCATGAATCAATTGACAGAATATATAATTTAAAAATTGAAAAAAAAAATAATTTAAAATAAATTGAAAAAATAATTTTATATTCTCAAAATTTTATGATCGATTCTCGACACTCTGCTACCTGTCTTACCGATCTGAAATTTTCCACACTTACGTAAAGTCAGAGGCAATGCATGAATCAATTGACAGAATACATGATTTTGAAAAATTTATTGTTTTGTTTAATTTTAAAGATAAAAATTAAGAATTAATTTATGTAATATTTGATAATAAAATTAGAAATTCATTTCTTATGTGTAACATCGGAGACATTGGATTCTTTAGAAGTGTTGTCTTTGAAAAGTAATTTTCGAACGCATATTATTTTTCCTGTAGAGGTTCATCGGATGTACTGCTTTATTTTGCAATAATTTGAGAGGTGAAATCGCTTATGATAAATGCATTGAGATTTTGAGACGAGTTTGATAGTTTTCTGGGCGCTGACAATTTTGTGTATTGCAAAAAATTTATGTTGACCATGAATTTAAAAGCAAAGAAAAAACAAAGTAAATTCATCATATCGATATTAAAAACGTTTCGGAGTCCAGTTCCATCCTCAGTTCGAAAAACTATAAATGAATATCGGAGGTAGGTCTGTTTTGACTCTCGCTAAGAAGCTTGTACGAATCTCAAGGTGAAGGAAAGTAGGATGGCTGTCGATTCTACTTACTTGAAAACATTAATACAATGAAAAGTCTTGCTCGCTATTTCCACAAAATGTACATATCATAAAGCGGTCAACTCCTAAGACAATTCATGAAGGCCTCCAGGAGAAGGAACGGTCTGTGCAGGGCTTGTTAGCTGTCGCTCAACGAGGGAGCGCAGCCGTGCACCACCAATTTTGTGCACCAATAAGCCCTGAATCGAACGCCTTGGATATCTCCGGATATCCACCAATCAGCCGTGCACCACTCGGCTTTGTCCTCCTCCGGCCTTGACCACCACCTGCCGTGCACCACCAGGCCGCGGATCGAATGTGACTTCCGGGCATCGTTAAATTACGTAATTTTACGTTCACCGCATCTGAGGTTAGGTTTCAGATAGCATAGTTCTGTTCCAAAATTTATCGTTCTTCGACAAGTGGCCGTTCGACCGAGGGCTGGTTCGACCCACGGCCTAGATACGGACGGATTGAAGTGTTGAAGGCTACGTTCCGGAAGGCAGGAATCGTGATGGTCCATTACATCCAGGGCAGTGGTGGTCTTCGGCAGGCGACCCGCTCAACGAAGCGCGATCAGGAAGGCCCCCTGCCCCCGCACCCACATCAGCTCTGGTTACAATTAATGGATGTACCTGCAGGGCATACCTTCTAGTGACTCATCAATTCAATACCTTTAAAGCAATGTGAGTTACGTCATCGAGGGATCCATAATGGAGGTAAAATTATGGTACGCTGTGAACTGAAATTTTAATTATATTAGGAGAAAACAACAATGCATTCAATTCTAAACAAACAACACTCGAAGGTAGGTCGATCAGTTTACAATAATCAAACATTTCAAAACAAGAGACTATACATGAATTATCAATTCGAAGCATTTTAATATTTAGTCGTAATATATTATGTAAGTATCAAGCTTAATGGCTTGAACTGAATTCAAAAATATTAATGCAAAATGAATTCAAAAATATTAATGCAAAATTTCCAATGAATTATTCGTAAACTGAAAAAAACATTGCTAGCTGATAATCCATTAATCCAAGTTGGATCATCCAACCATTTTGATGACAAATTAGGCGATTCTCTCTGTCAACATCTGGTATGGATCCCTGCTGCCAAATATTTAGAAGAACATATAATGGCCACATATCATTGGTTCACTCACTAATGTTTTCAAATCTCCTCAAAAATTATGAGCTGTCAAAGGTATGCACAAAAAGTTCTTATTGACGGATTTTAAAAGCTGAGCTACATATGATTCAGATGCTACACTATCTAATGTCAGATATTCCCTAATCTTAGCTTCTACTTTGACATTTGATGTTAGCATGAGAGTGTCTCTACAGGCAATACCACTTTACTTTGCCCCAACACACATATCGCCAGGGTTCAAAAGAAACGATCGATTTTGTTAAGAAATCTGGGCCACAACTTTCTAGCGCGATCGGAAATGCTTCTTAGTTGTCATGAGGCAATCGAACCTTAAAAACTGTAACTCTGACCAGTATTATACGATTTCTTTGGACGAGCCTGTGATTTAAGTGGAGTAGCTACTGAGTGGCGACTTATGTGTCATTAACGGTATAGTGTCATTAACGACTTATGTGTCATTAAGGGGACCGACTACCCTAAAATTTTCAATTATGGCGTTTTCCGGTTTTTGTGCTCAGCTGAAAGCTGTAATTCTGCTCTTTCCAATGGTACCACTGCCATCGTTGTACGCCAATATTTACGTTCATGACGTCTCTTTAAAGGGAAGCGGGTGGGAGAGTTCTTTAAATATGTGTCATTAACGGTAGTCTAACTCGTCACATACGCTGTATTGACAGTAACTTGCCTCACCATTTTCTGCAATCCTTCGCAGTTAACCACCAACGACTCCATCAAAATTCTCATCCACCGGCAAAATTACTCCTGGTTTACCTCTCACATCAGCAGCACCAGTACGAACACAAAGTTGCTACTAGTGAGCAACCTCTCTGAGACTCTGCAGCGCCACTCCAGTGACGCTTTCACGGCTATGTTCATTGTTCACCAAAAGCGCGGCTGAACCGGAAAAGATCGTTACTGGTCAGCCCTGTCAAAATTTAGCCGCGGCAGACGGTCTGGTTTCGGTTGCCAGTCTCGGGTTAGAGATGATTCAAATGTGAAATGGCCGCATCTCATAATTAGCCGCCCAGTAGGAGCTATTTTGGGTAGTTTCATGGGAAAAAAATGTTCCACATATACATCTTTCGTGCCCAGCGTTCATCGTCCATTCGCTCCAGTCTCACTTTATACCTCAAAACTGCTCTCATTCTTCTTTCCTTGAAGGTACTCCAACCCATGTCTCTTCTCAGGGCCTCTACTGCAGTCCACCTGGGGGCTCCTAGTGCCAATCTCGCCACTCTATTTTGTACCAATTCCAATTTATGTAGCTCGCCATCACTATATGCTATCACATCCAATCCATGCATAATGCTAGGCACTGCTACACTCTTCCACACTTCTCTCAATACTTCATACTTACTCGCTCTCACTTTTGCTGAACTTCCAAGTATACCTAACCATTGGTTCGCCTTACTTAGATTCGCGGCCTTTGTTCTCTGACATCCTTCATGGTCCACACATATCCCTAAGTACTTATACTCATTTGTCCTAACAATCTCATTCCCTCCCAACATCCCCACTCTGCTCATATCCTCAATCGATCCATTCACAACAAGTACTTGGCTCTTCTCCACACTGAATCGCACATTGAAGTCCCTCCCATACTCAGTCACACAGTCCAGCATACTTTGCAGTTCCTCGCTATTTTCACTCATAATCACAGCATCATCAGCATACAGAAGCATTCTTAACCTTTCGCCGCCTACACGCACACCAATATCCAATCTCCTCACCCTCGTGGCCATCTCTTCTGTGTAGAGGTTGAAGAGAAACGGAGACAGGATACAGCCTTGTCGTACGCCTCTCCTGCTCCTCACCCAGTCCGTCTCAATATCCCCAAGTCTATATTTTGCACTAGTATTCACATACATACTTCTCACAAGCCTCACACATTTTTCACTCATTCCAATTTTTCCCAGTATTTGACACAGAAGCTCTCTATCCACCCGGTCATACGCCTTTTCTATGTCTAGGAAAGCAAAGTACACTTTCTTTCCATCTCTTTTCATTCTCCCTATCAGTTCATTCACAACATATATATTATCTTCTGCTCTTCTGTCATATCTAAAACCATTTTGCTCTTCACCAACACTCTTTCGTTCCTAATACATCTTTGCATCCACTCATTCATAACCGCACAGAAAATCTTACCGCTGGTGTCAGCAAGGGCAATCGGTCTGTAGTTCCTAAGTTCCTTTTTGCTCTTGTGGCCACCCTTGTGAAGCAAGGTAACACGACTTTCATTTCACGCATCAGGTGCACACTCATTTGTCCAAACAACATTGAATAGATCAGTCAGTCTGCCAATTGCACTCTCACCTCCATACTTATACATCTCATACGGTATCTCATCCATTCCAGCTGCCTTATTATTCATCAATCGCTCCACCACTTGTTTCACTTCCTCATTTGTAATTTGCTCGTCCATGCCACTCAGATTTTTACGTTCTAATGAAACAACATTTTCACCAGGCGTAAATAAGTCATTCATCCCTCCAATGTCTTCCCAGAATTTCTTCACAGCCTCCGCCAACATTGTTCGTTCAGTTACATACACTCATTCTACATTCAACCCATCCACTCTCAGATCACTTTCACTTTTGTCCCCTCTTAGGAATGCATACCAGTTGCGTCCACCCTCTCTCTCCCATTTTTGTTCACAGGCTCTCCTAGTACACCAAGTTAGTATCCCACACACATAAGAAACTTGGTGATGCCCGCAGTATGCTTTCGAAGTACATGCAAGATGACTTCAAAGACATCACTTATGAAGAGGTCGTAAATGATCTGCTTCTGACTTACGGCTCCGTGACGACGACTTCATTCGTCGACGCATCACGCGAATCACGTAACGTCATTCTCTCTGCTAAACCTGGCAAAGTGAATACTGTTATGAATATAAATGCTCTTCGTGAAGCCTCAAATAAAGTTGCGACAACCTTCGTTGATCGCCCTTGCTACAATGTAAAGCAGGAAACCAGACCTATCGTCGATATCATCAAGGAAGTAATCTTCGCTACTGCCGCCAGCTCAGTTTTCACTAAACGCGTGATGACAGACACGCTACTCAAGAGGAAGGAAGGTCAACGGATCGCCGATGCGTATTCACAATTGACGCACCACATACTAGCGTCCGATAAAGACTCCTATCATAAGCAGAGCGCCAACGTAAACAGGATTACTCACGAGAGTAAACCTGCAGCAGCATCAGCGGCGGCAGATTTCACGCCAGCCGCAATTAGTTCAGCCTCAGCTCCAATGCATGGCCAACAGTATAAACGTGGAAAGAACAACCGTGGTCGGCATGGAAACCGTGGTCATCGGGGAGGATCTAACAATCAACCCAGCAATACGACGACCAACAACAGAGGCGGCTACACAAATTCCCGTGGTGGACAACCCCATGGAGCAGGATATCATCAGGACGGCTACTCGAGTCAGCGAAATCAAGCTGAGTATTATGCTAACAGATACAAAACTGTACATTGTACTAATTTTAATTCTGCAGGATATAATATTAAGGAGTGTATTAACGAAAGCCCCCCCCCATCAATGACGCGAGGCACGGGAGGTAATTATTTATCCCTCCCACAGGTCTCACCTCCATACATTTAAAGGCCACTCTTGTAATTTCTCTGCTAAAGTAGATGCCAAGCGCAGGTACAGCAATTTATGTGCTAATTGTAAATTAGTTCGTAAGCATTGTACTTGTAAAATGTTTGTGCAATCACGTTCTGGGACTAATTTTTTCAGTTCGAATATAAACATGTGTGCTAGGGAACAGTCGCGAAGTTCCATGGATCATTTGCAGTTGTCCAAATTGAATGAGCTAGACCCTGAAAAAAACCTGACGAGGTCTGTAGATAATCGGCCCCTGACTGATTCTATTAATGAATGTCAAAGAGAAAATCCTGTAAGGTTAGCGAAAGCCAACTCAAATCCTGAAAATGCTGCGCTCAGTAATAAATTACTTGATGCAAATAATGTCTCAACTGCTGTAGACGATAGTCAATGGGAACAATGTTCCCTGTCGATCATAAAACGTAAACCGTCGACAATAAAATTGTTCGACGACGACGGCGATCTAGTAAATGTGCGCGTCCCGATAATCAAACTTATTGTTAATGATCGTGAAATAAGAGGTTTCCTCGACACTGGGTCCACAGCGACCTTAATTAAACAGAGCGCTCTAAAAGACGCTGCTCTAATAACTCCGACAAGCATAACCGCAGTTTCCGCTACAGGTGACGCGCTCAAAATTAGAGGCGAAACTGATATAGCAGTAAAAATGCCAAATGGTAAAAATATCAGCCTAAAAGCACTTGTCGTTGAGGATGGGACAAGTTTACCATGTAAAATCCTTATAGGTACGGACCTATTGGTAAAATCAAAAGCCATAATCGATTTCCGTACAAACGAAGTCACGTTCACAAGCGACACAAACGCGCAAAAGCTAAAAGCACGCGCGACGGCAAATCAAGGCCGGCCACAGCATGCGGCGTCCTCGAGCTCGCTTGACAGCCATACCAACAACATTGCTAACAGCGCTCACTGCACGCACACAGTACCCCGGTACTTGCATGCTGATGGTGAAAATGAAATTCTTATCCCAGCACATTGTAATGTGGCGCTAACTATCTTTTGCCCATCAGTTCCTGACGGTACTTACCACATCGAAAGTAATTTTATAAAAGGAATTTTAATAGCGTCTTGCTTAGTAAATATTAAAGACGGTAAATGCCCAATAATGTTGCTTAATGCCTATGCTGAAGAATTAACATTGAATAAAAATCGCATTTTGTCGAGTCTTGAGAGAATCGATAGTGAAACGCTGCACGTACGCTCATTGACGAGTGCCGAAAAACCTAGCAAAGTTATAGCTAAAGAAAATTCACAAAATCGTCCACTTGCAGCATCCGATGTCAATACGCTGGAAACAGGTACTTTGCTCACGCTACTATCAGTCCTTCAACGCAATCGTGACGCAGTTGCTCTGAAAAGAGAGCCTATAGGACTCACTCATTTGCTTACGCATGACATCAAATTGAAGGACGCAAATAAGAATGATGTTGTTTATGTAAAACAATACCGAATGGCGCACTCCCATCAAAAATAATAAGTACAGATGACAAGTTACACAATGATGTAGCCAAGGTTTCAATAGAATAATTCAGCCTTAATCAGAAAATGATAAAAAAGTTTAAATACAATGCAAGAATTTTAACTACCTAACCTTGGCTGGCTCACAAACCTACTCCTACCTACTGCCTCTTCTCATGAAGAGAAGAGGAGGGGGAGGGGAGAGAAAGCCAGCCGGGTTCTTGACGCTAGAAGGACCCTTCACTAAATATACTCGTCAACTCGTGGTATATATAGTAGTCCAAGATCAAGTAATATGTGACTTATAGGCAATTATTTACCGGTTAACTTAACGGAATCAAGGGCGATAGACACTAGAGATGTTTACTCGATGAACGCAGCTGACTCTCTCCGCCCCTCAGGTGAACTGATCATTGAGGGATTGTTCAGCACTTTCACAAATCACAAGGAAACAGAGAGGTTTGCACAAACGTCCTCTTTCGACAACGGTTCAAGCTTCTCTCCGACTCCGTGGTGGTCTTCGGCAGGCGACCCAACGGCGAAGGTACTGACTAAAACCCGGACCCGGACCGGTCCCCCGGACCCGGACCGAGTGAATAAAACCCGGACCCGGACCGGTCCGGCGGACCAGGTTCAAAAAAATAAAAGGCTGCAAATAGAATAGAAGTGTCGGCGTTGAAGACATAGGCCCATGGCCTGTTGCCGATTCTTGAATTTTTCGTGACTTGATTCACAAGGGATCCGGCCTTTGGAACCCGATCTTCCCATAACTGACGATTGATTGAGATAGCTGCTGGACTTATTGCCTGCTCCGTAATTTGATTTTTTTAGTTTATAGCCGTGGCCCCTGGTGTTGGTTCTTGTTTCAAATTCTAGTAATCCTTCTGGGACCTTGTATAAGCCATGAGTATATTATATAATCATCTGAAACGTTGAGAAAACTTTTAATTTTCTTGACGTCGATTAGTTCGATCGAAAAATGAACTATTCTGTGACCCGAATATGTTGGTGCGACGAAATTTGTCTAAGTAAATATCAATATTTTATGCGTAAAATTAAAAGTTTTCTCGACATTTCAGATGATTTGGACCCTTTTATTTTTTTGAACCTGGTCCGCTGGACCGGTCCGGGTCCGGGTTTTAGTCACTCGGTCCGGGTTTTAGTCAGTACTAACGGCAAATTGTCGAAGGACGATAAATTTTGGAACAGAACTATGCTATCTGAAACCTAGCCTTAGATGCGGTGAACGTAAAATTACGTAATTTAACGATGCCCGGAAGTCATATTCGATCCGCGGCCTGGTGGTGCACGGCAGGTGGTGGTCAAGGCCGAAAGAGGACAAAGCCGAGTGGTGCACGGCTGATTGGTGTAGGTCCGGACTCCGGAGAGATCCAAGGCATTCGATTCAGGGCTTACTGGTGCACAAATTTGGTGGTGCACGGCTGCGCTCCCTCTCAAACTGGAATCGCTTGTGTTTACTTCCTTCCTTCACACTTGCGCCTAATAACTGAAAGTCGGATAGCCACCAAAATGGTAAACTTTAAAGTACATTTGTCGTTATCACGACCATCACGAATGCGTCAAAACATAAAATGAAAAAAACTTGATTAATCGGAAACAATACAAACATATGTAATAGTTTCACCCATATTAAGAGTAAAGCCAGGGACACCACGAATCACTGGGCAGTAAATCTATCTTAACTATTCTAACGCATGAGGTCAAAATGACCTCACGCAGTGTTTCTAGGTATAGCACAACTGCGGTGCTTCTAGTGTTAAGTGACCAAGGAATATGTTTAACTATTGAAGACATTCAATTGAAAAATTTGACAATAACTTATACTAAACTTTTGCGTCTGTTGGGTTTGTAAATATATTTTGGGAGGTCTCGGACAAATTTACGGCCGGACCCACGGCCGGAAAGGTTTTCTTAGTGTTTTTATGAAGTTTTCTACATTTTTTGTGTTTTTAATGGAACCTGTTCCTAACTGGACCTAACCTGCGAGGTTTTCGTTTATTGGCTAGATTTTTAGCGCATTTTCTCATTCATGGAAAAAATGCACTATTGTGCTCGCCATGTCCGCCTGTCTGTCTGTCTGTCCGACAGTCCGTCCATCCGTGACCTCAAGTTTTCGTCGACGAGAAAATGCGCTCTCTGTTACTCACTGCTGTGAGTACTGAGTTATATTTTTTCTATGTTTGGAGTCCGGCGGCCGCGAGACCGGCCGCGGGTCCGGCCGTAAATTTGTCCGAGTTTGTTCCCAAATGACTGAAGATATTCTCATATACCGTAAACTACTTCACTGAAATGTATCGATATGCGTACGGTAGATTTTTGACTAATGAAGTACAATTCGTAGACTTTAGCGTCACATTAGAGTGAACCAGCTTGATTGGCTGAATTTGCAGGATCTATGCAACAACTTTCTTCTAAACAGATTTAAAATTGAGATGGAAAATTGTAACCCCGTACGTTAATCGCTAAATATAACGAAGCCTGGTGATAAAATTCTTGCATAGCTGTCTGCTAACAACAGCCATGCAGGAAATAACTACAAATACTCACAAAGAAAAGTATTACGCCTCTATGTCTTCCCCTCATCTGCCGCTATAGCTCTATTTCGTCCTCTCATCTGTGGGGGAGGGGGCTTTGCCCGCATTGACTACGTTTGACTCCAATGAATCGGTGAATTTGAATGTCAAGGCAACGAGTTAACTTCACTAAAATCAGATAGAAATATGAGGTACGGCAAGATGTAATTGGTCGGGTTAAATTATTACAACAACAATTGGTAATTTAGATTTATTTTGTTAAGCTCACGTGACCTGCTCGATGGAGATGATCACGGTGGAATTGGAAGACCAGGGTTGGTGATGAAGACGAGGTGCTTGGCTTGGTGGTGTGATAGTGGTCGCGTGGTGAGTGAAGACACACGTCGTGAAGTCGTCCAGGCACGAGATTGAGCGTACAGGGACACGTGGTGAATGTTGTTCAGCAGACAGAGATGACGTCGTTACGCAGACAGAGATGGCGTCGTTACGCAGACAGACACGGCGTCGGTACGCAGACAGAGACGGCGTCCGTCGTTACGCAGACAGAGACGACGTCGTTACACAGACAGAGACGGTGTCGTTACGCAGACAGAGACGATGTCGTTACGCAGACAAAGACGATGTCGTTACGCGGCAGAGACGCCGTCGTTACGCTGTTAGAGGCGATGTCGTTACGCACAGAGACGATGTCCTTACGCGGCAGAAACGGCGTCGTCACGCAGACAGAGACGGCGTCGTTACGCAGACAGAGACGATGTCGTTACGCAGGCAGAGACGATGTCGTTACGCAGACAGAGACGATGTCGTTACGCAGACAGAGACGGCGTCGTTACGCAGACAGAGACGATGTCGTTGCGCAGACAGACGATGTCGTGACGCGGCAGAGACGGCGTCGTCACGCAGACAGAGACGGCGTCGTCACGCAGACAGAGATGGGAGTTTGCACGTTGAAGGGGCAGGAATGATGGCTTTTTCGCCGATGTGGGGTCAGAGGAGATGTTGGCAGCCCCATTGTTGAATTAATACATATTAACCATGGTTGAATTAATACATATTAATTCAACCATGGGCAGCCCGATGTCGGAGAGAGAAAAAATGGGCGGTAGAGCAGGAGGAGACTATAGAAGGAGGGAGGCTTCACGGAAGTAGAATGTTGCCAAACGACGGAAATAAGTTTTCTCTGGACTATTCTCATGATGATAAGCTAATCATTAATACGATAAACATAATGTTATGAGTATTAATATTAATATGATAAACATAAAATTAGTTCTATGTAGCGAGATCCGTTACACATCTGCCGCTACAGATCAATTTCGTTCCCTCATTCGCCGCTACAGCTCTATTTCGTCCCCTCATCCGCCGCTACAGCTCTATTTCGTCCCCTCGTCTGCCACTGCAGCTCTATTTCGTCTCCTCGTCTGCCGCGAAAGCTCTATTTCGTCTCGTCGTCTGCCACTACAGCTCTATTTCGTCTCGTCGTCTGCCACTACAGCTCTATTTCGTCTCCTCGTCTGCTGCTACAGCTCCATTCCGTATCGTCGTCTGCCACGACAGCTCTATTTCATCTCTTCGTCTGCCGCGACAGCTCTATTTCGATCATCTCTTCGTCTGCCGCGACAGCTCTATTTCGTCTTCTCGTCTGCCACTACAGCTCTATTTCATCTCTTCGTCTGCCACGACAGCTCTATTTCATCTCTTCGTCTGCCGCGACAGCTCTATTTCGTCTTCTCGTCTGCTGCTACAGCTCTATTTCGTCCTCTCGTCTGCCGCGACAGCTCTATATCGTCCTCTCGTCTGCCGCGACAGCTCTATTTCATCTCTTCGTCTGCCGCGACAGCTCTATTTCGTCCTCTCGTCTGCCGCGACAGCTCTATTTCATCTCTTCGTCTGCCACTACAGCTCTATATCGTCTCCTCGTCTGCCGCGACAGCT